CCAATGTCCCCTCAGTAAGAACATTACAACATGTTTTTCTTCTTCCGTCTTCGATGTATCTTCTTTCTTCAGTTATCTTTTAGTTTTTATAAGTCCAGATCTGTCCATTCATGATATAAACCAAATTCCTTTTTTCCAGGGACATCTTCGCTTCCTTAAACGTCTTAAATAAAAAGAGTCTTTCCTTTTGTTGCATTAACAACACGCTCATTGGAGATTCCAACCTTTCTCTTAGCAAGCAGATCTTGTAAAGTTGGGGTAGCGAGCCCCTTACTCCAGAAAACCGCTTTTCGATCAGCTTGCCAATCCAGCCACAAAGAACTAAACTTTAGAGTCTCCTTACCATTCATACGTCTCTATGGTCAACGTACTGTCCCTTTAAAAGTGTAGCCGCTTTTAGTACAGATCCAGTTCGCTTCTCACTTTAGCCACCAGAGGGCCCACAATTCACTTTAAAGACAGAGTCTATGGTTAGGTCACGTGACCTAACTTTCCACTGTTCTCCTTCCTGAAGAAATTTCCTGAGTATAATTGAAACAACATTAGTAATTTGGTCACGACCAATTCTCCCTCTAAGCTGTGGAGTCTTGTGACCAAAAACTCTACTTGGGCCCCAGTCACACGTAGAATTTGCCACGCGAAAGGCATGAATGTTGGGCGGATTTTCGGGGCGCGATCACACCACAACATCTGGGAAGCGAAGTTAAAAAGTACCGTGGAAAGTGCATTACTATCCGGAAAACGTGCGGCACAGGCAGGCGTCTGATCGTGGGAGCGCTAGTATCCCGTGGCATCCGACGCCCATCCAGGTCCCGTCGCAAACTGGATGTTTTTCATAAGCGCATGCGCACAAACACGAAACCGAAAGCAGTCCTGCTCTGTGGAACTGCGCATGCGTGCAAACGCGAAACGCATGTGTGATCGCGCTGCGCCGCTTCTTTGCCACGCTGCAGCATCACCGTGTGATCGCCAGCTAACAGCCTAAGCGCGGAGACTCGGGGGACCGTGTGATCAGGCTACCGTGCTTTATCTTGCTCCGGGGTGAACAGCCACACCTCCCCCCCACGTTATCTGGCCCGTGTGACCAGGGCCTTGGTGAGCTCCTGGCATTAAAGTTGTAAGCGAGCGATTTGGCTGCTGTGTAAATCAATTTGCTCTGGAGCCTTCCTGCTTGAGCGAAGAGAGGGAACACTGACAGCTTTTGCTTCTTTGATGTTCTGCTTTCCTTTGTGACTTTCTCTCATGTTCCTTATAACCCCCCGGAGGCTGGCAGCCCTTGTGTTAAACCAGGTTTACGAATAGGTGGTGGTGGTGGGGAGGATTTCTAACAGACGAGGAGTCTCCGGTTTCGCTAAGGTAATTCACACTAATAATGAGATAAAGATCCCAAGTCCCGATTCAGTCCAGATAGGGGGGGTAGTATGGAATTTGTTAACGAATCCAGAAGGGTAGATCGGCCCAGGAAGCCTGGAGGTGTTTTGCTTTCCTCTGGGCGTAGAGCGGGGGTCACTGGGGGGCGGGGGGGCGGGAGTGTGTGGAGTGGCTGTGCATTTCCTGGCCACCAGCTATGCACTTATTCCATCCTGCTCTCACAAGGAACACATGAAGCTGCCGTTCATGGAATCGGACCATTGGTCGGTCACAGCCAGTACTGTCTACTCGGACTGCCAGCGGATCTCCCGCGTCTCAGGCAGAGGAAGGTCTTCCCCATCACCTCCCGCCTGGTCCTTTTTAACTGAAGACGCCGGGGACTGAACCTGGGACCTTCTGCATGCCAAACAGAGGCTCTGCCACTGAGACAGGGTCTCAGGTCAAGGTCTTCCCCATCACCTCCAGCCTGGTCCTTTTCAGTGGAGATGATGGGGAATTGATCCTGGGATCTTCTGCATGCCAAGCAGAGGCTCTACCACTGAGCCAGGGTCTCAGGTCAAGGTCTTTCCCATCACCTCCTGCCTGGTCCTTTTAACTGGAGATGCCGGGGATTGAACCTGGGACCTTCGGCATGCCAAGCAGAGGCTCTACCTCTGAGCCACAGCCCCTCTTTACAGCTCTCTGGGCTCTCAGGTGGAGGTCTTTCACATCACCTCCTGCCTGGTCTTTTTTAACTGGAGACGCCGGGGACTGAACCCGGGACCTTCTGCAGGCCAAGCAAAGGCTCTGCCACTGAGCCACGCCCCCTCTTTACAGTTCTTCAGGGTCTCAGGCACAGAGGTCTTTCCCATCACCTCCTGCCTGGTACTTTTTAACTGGATATGCCGGGGATTGAGCCTGGGACCTTTTGCGTGCCAAGCAGATGTTCTACCACTGAGCCACGGCCCCTCTCAGGGACCGAGGGAAGAGGGAGTGACCAGCAGGCTTGTGCATTCTCCCCACTTGTCTTTCAGAGGGAACTCCAAGTACCACTACTATGGGCTGCGCATCAAAGCCAACTCCCCACTGCTCCGGCTCATGGAGGACCAGCAGCACCTGGCCATGAGGCAGCAGCCCTTTTCTCAGAAACAAAGGTAGGAGGTGGCAGAACTGGGGCGCTCTTTCTCATGGCCTCCCCGCTCCGGCTTCCTGGGAAGCTGTGGGACTGTTGCCGCGTGCCGCATG